TTTTTTTGATATATTGATTTTAATCTCTTTTTCTGTATCGTCACTTTTCCTGATACTGTCATTTTTTCTATCATTTTTCTTGATATTATCACTTTTATTGGTATTATTACTTTTTCTGATATATTGATTTTAATTTCTTTTTCTGCATCGTCACTTTTCCTAATACTGTCATTTTTTCTGGTGCTGTCACTTTTCTTGGAGCCTTTTTTATAATTTTGTAAATAGGCTTGTTGTTTAGTAGATTTTGCTATTGGTTTTATTATCTTGTGCATATATCTAACTACTTTTTTTAAAATAAATATTTCTTGTAAATAGTGTTGCTTTATTATTGTAGTGATCTATTGTTATTAATAGAGTGATTTTGTTTTGAAGTGCTGTGATTATGTTGTAATGATATTATAAATATCCTTGTAATAGTTTTTTTAGAGAAGTTCTTTTTTTATAGTTGTTTTGTTATTTATATTCATAAATATAACTAATGCACTTTTTTATGTTATAACAAATACAATTTCAATACTTGCATTCCTTTCTAACCCTTAAGTATAGATATTAAGTAAAATTTGGAGCTTCATATTGGCAAAAGTCAAAGCTAGAATCTCAACTTTTGTTAAAAAAAAGTCTGAAAAGTAAAATATAGTAAACTGACAAAAGTATAAAATATAGCGAAACTTGTGAAATATGATGAACTGACAAAACTAGTAAAGTATGGTAAAATTGGTAAAATATAAAGAACTGACAAAACTGGTGAAATGCAGCAAAGCTGGTGAAATTGGTAAAATGTGATTAACTAAAAAAAACAGAGAAATTAGTAAAATATAACCAATTGATAAAACTGATAAAATATATAAACAATAGATCCAAATTTAATCAGGATGAAAGCTTGAGTTAAAATCAGGTTAAGGTAGATATTAGTGATATTATTAATATAATAAAAATTTCTTTAAAACAGTTATAAAAAAAAGTATACAATTCTTTATAAGTTAGAATCAAACTATTTTGTACAAGATACTCTGATATTAACTATGTAGCATATATT